ATCCATGACTAAGAACTTGTTGGATATGTTTGTGGACAATAAGCACTTATGATGGCAAAATGCCGAAAGCGCTTTGCATTTATTAATTAAAAAGTTTTGCACGAAATACAAGTCTTTTCTTTTAAGTAATAATACTTTTTTAGTAAATTTCTCAATTTGATGATGTTAAGAAATTTTGGAATAGTCTATACATTTGCAGTACTAAATTTAAGTTAGGTTTTCTTTCAAATGATGCATTTTAGCGACAAGCAACAAGTATACCTTTTTTAAAGCAAATTGAAAGCTTTTTTAAAATAATTAATCATTTTTCAAAAATATCAATTTTTAAAAAAAAATCTGAAGTAAACACTAGATTGGCGCGCCAGTTTGGAACGCCCTGTACATTTAATGCAACAAAAAAGCTAGTATTCGTTTGTATCACCCAAAAAAATTTGGGTATATTTGATTTATCGTAAAAATATTGAAAAAAAAAAATATTTTTTCTACCCTGTAACATCTTAAGCAAGCAAAATTTTACTAAGGTAAATTGGCTTAAATAAACTTATTTTTGTTCAAACTAATCATATCTGAAATTTGGCCCATTCTTTAATTAACACCCTATACGTTATATTCATTACATCCTTTTTTCGGCTCCGGAATATTAACAATTTCCAGTATCTGAACCGTCGATCAGAAAATGCAAAGCCCAATTTCTCTCCGCCGTCCGTACATATTCCACATTTCCCGAAAAAAGGAAGAGCAACCGGGAGTTACAAATGAAGGCATTTAAATTTTATTTTTCGTCGTTTTCCTCGCGAACGATTTATGTCTCTATTTGTAAGTAGACTGGGAATACCGTACCTTGCCACAATTGATGTATTCGACTGCCGTCTCTCTGAAGAAGAAGTAAACGAAGTCCCCCTGGGTCATGGATCCGACAAAATCCGGAGCTGTGGAACAGAAAGAGAGAAAGGCATTAATCAACTCGTTATCGAACTCCATGCGGAGATGAATAAGTCAAAGTTGTGCGCACTCTGTTTACTATGTTACTGCTACCACTGTATTCATTGTAAGGCGTTGATGCCAAATGTTCTTTTTTTTTTCTTTATTTTGGTATTATGGAAGAATAGTATATTTTATTAGGAGTCCAAAATATACGCTTTTCCCGTGCGAACGTGACAAGTTTTTAATGTGAGGCTGAGCCGAACACGGGAAGTCATACAACCACGGGAGAAGCATTTATGGACGTGTAATAAACTATACTTTTCATTATACCTCTCCGAAAACAAATTCAAGGCAAACAATTTTAAAACAATATCATCACTTACTGTGTTAATATTTTTTTGCTGATGCCAGTTGCAAAATAGATGGTACTCTTATTCATATCTCTCGCAGGACTTATTGAGTAGTAATTTTGTACTAACTTTTGAGGTTTTAAGAGATATTTTTTCTTATAGAGAATTCAAAAAAATGAAAACTGTCATAAGCGTGGTCTATTGTTGCTAAGAAAACTAAATACCAGTGTAAGTGTTTAAAAATAATTAGGCATTCCAAACAAAATGGCTACCAGTTGGTTTTGACAGATTATGATATGGCAACATTGTGGCAACCCTATGGGCCCGGTGATTTGACAGGGTCAATGAAATAGATAGTTATATAGATTGATCAATTGATCATCCATGTTTTTCAAAATAGACCTAAGCTTAGACCTTAAAGTAAAAATGTAGGTAATTATGTTTTTTACTATATGCAAAGGCTGAAAATTGGTTTCTAAACACATTTTTGCTAAACGGATTCTGATTATGAGCACTTGAGAGGCAATATAACCACTCGCAAACGACTCGCTTTGAGCAATCTATATAACTATATATGTATCATTGACCCTGTTAATTCGAGTCTAGAATAATTGTTAATAAATCCAAGAAAGCTTTTAAGTTTGATGTAAGTATATATGCTTTAAAAATCAACTAACGCTTACTTGATTCAATGTTCCAGAATGATTCGATTCAATTTTATATTATTAGATTCAACTACAACCAATGTTACTTTAAGCACTTAAATTTCAGAAAAAGAGTTAAACAATTCGAATTAAATTCACAAAAGATTAACGAGAACAAAACAACTGCATGGTGTTCTTTGTAAAATGCCACCATAGCACTGGTATCATAGATATACGACTGGCAGACAGTGATATGTTCTAAAATAAGAGCTTACATTATTTATAGCAAATTTACAGACAACGCAGCATTAAATCATAAAAATAAATACCAAATGCACATAACCTCTAAAAAATAGTGACATACGTCAACTTCCAAAGCCAAGCCCAATTAAAAAAAGCCAACAACATATTTCAGTTAGAGACAGAATAAAGAGAAAAGATGCTATGACGATACTAAAAGTGCCCGCACCTTTGAATTACACTTTTACGTCATATGTCAAATTCGAGCTAGTCAGTTTTGGTGAGAATAAATGTGATTTTCTTAAATAGCTTCATCTAAATGATATAAAAACATTTTGATTCCGTAAATCTTCACTCGAAGTGCGTCCATCTGTCGTATTGCAAAATAGTGTTTATGACGTTTACACCAATCTGCATTTTCGAGGTTAGAGTTAATGTAGAGATGCACGTTATTGCTCACATACCTAGTAGTTAAAAATCAATTGGAAAATGTGTCAACAAAAAAAAAATAAAGCTGAAAACGTCCTCAAAGATTTATGGAAAAGCTACAAACGCGATGGTGCCATCGAAGCGGATAGGGTTATTTAAAACTACGACCTTTTACATTTTTCACACCAAAGTAAAACATTAATAGCCACTTCTACATACGATCCGAAATGAGACTCGGGGACGAGGGACCGCATTCAATAAAATGAAACGAGTCGAAATGGGGACAGAGGAGAGTAGAGAGAAAAGGAGAGAAATGGGCATTAATCAAGTCGTTATCGAACCCGGGAGGTGAATAAGTCAAATGAAGTTTGTCGGGCCGGGCCGGTGCCGTATTGGAATGCTTTTGAAATTTCGAATTTTCATTTATCAAGATCGGCGACGGCAAAAGGAAGGGTTTCTAATTTGGGTTGAGGGTGTTGCGGTTTAGATCCGACCCTGATTGCAGCCGATAGTTTAACGCGCGCCGTAGTACGTACGAATATTGAGGTGATTAAGGAGCGGCTTCAACAACAATGCCGTAACAAATTACTTTGTTTAGCTTTTACTTAAAATTATGTTCAACCTCTTATGTCGGTGATACCACTGAACTCCCCACCAGTGGAATTATACAGGATGTTGCAGACCTTATCAAAAATTGCACAACTGTACCATGTTTAGTAGTATTATAACGCTTGCGCAGTACGGAGTATTTGGGAAAAATCCATCGAAAATTACACGTCAATAATACATATACATACACACAACCAAACTTAAGTGGAATCACTGTGTATTTCTCAATAAACTTTTTGTAAGGAATAAACTTTAAGAAAAGGCTTTTTGTTCAAAAAAAAACATGATAATAAAGAAGAAATGACTGTTACGATTTATTATCTTGTGAATTTTGTGTTCAGAAGTAAAATCACGATCATCCGGTAATTTTATTTCGGTCCAAAAAACAACAAAATGCCTTATATTGGACTAACAGATGTGCAGAGGGGAAGAATTATTGCTCTCATTGAACAAAGGAATGTGGCAATGAGACATAGCAGAGGTAGTAGGCGATACCCAGAGTGTTGTATGGAAAACATATAAAAGGTACTTGGAACTAGAAACTCTCAAGAACAAGCATAGACAAAGTCATCAAAGAGTCACAACTGAAGAACAGGACCGCTTTGTGTGCCAAATTGTTAGAAGAATTCCCAGTGTTTCTTTCCATAGCTACCACGACAACTTCTGGAAGCTAAAGATGTGAACATTTCAGTTGAAACCCTAAGAATAAGACTTCGCCCTCGAGGGTTGTACAGTAATAGAGAATTACGGGTCCCACCCTTATCTAGGCAAAATAAAATTGACCGGCAAAATTGGTGCCTTCAACACCAAAACTGGACAATTGAGAATTGGAAAAATGTTTCCAAGCTTTCAAACAAAAAAGTTTTCATTCCGATATCTTATTTAATAAGGAAGATAAGAGCGGGTGGACTTATTAAATGGTTTACTAATAACAAAAATGTTAGATACGCCACTGATACACTGTAAATGGGTCCCAATGGGAACTTTTAAGCTTACATATTTTTTCCATAAACGAAATAACAGTAACATATTAAATAAAATATTATCCTATATGACGGTCATTTTGACAGCTGACATAAAATTTTCAATACACGATTCTTATACATAAATGTCCAGGCAATTCAAATTTTTAATAAAAAATGGGGTTTCTATTTAAAAATTAACACTAAATTTCGATTTTTTGTTAGTTTTGAAAAACCGGAAGTAAGCCATGACATCACAGACCAGTTGAGTCCATTATATTATAGTACTTGTTCAATTAACAATGGCGGCCATTTTGACAGCAGCCAGAAAATTTTTAATACACGATTAGACAAAAATGTCTCAGAAATTCAAATTTACAATAAAAAAGTGGGTTTCAATTTAAAAATAAAAAAAATGTGATTTTTTGTTATTTCCGGAAAGACCGGAAGTAAGCCATGACATCACAGAATAATTAAATCCATCATAAGAAAGAATTTGTTCCAGTCTTTCAAATAAAAAAAAATATTCCGATATTTCAATGAATAACGAAGATAAGGACGAGGTGGAACTTTTAAATGGCCTACCCTGTATATAATTAAATAAAAATTAGAAATAATAGGCGAAGTTCATCCTGTGTAAATGTTTGACCATTACAGAGTATGATCTACCACTTAACTCTACCACTTATGTGCATCTTGGTCAAAAAATCGAGTGTAGATATGCATTTTATCTGATAACACGATTGGTCACCGAAAAAACAGCGACCAGCCAACTATTTTCAGTCGGTAGCAGAATAGAACAGAGCGACAATTCGATAGACAACAAATAAAAAAAAACTCACCGTTGAGACTCATCGAATCGTATTGTTCGGTTTGTAGTGGTTCCCTGTAGATAATGGGGTCCATCCCGCTGAAATCAGCCACAGTGCCTGTGTACAAATCTCCGTCTGAAACAAAAGAAACGAATTTTTGTATTTTCTCAACCAGTGGCGACGCTGAAAAGTGTCATTAAAAAAGGGAATATTTAAAATAAAAACTTCCCAGTTAATTCAATTTCATTAAAAGACATCAGATGAGTTAAGTGTGAATGATGCTTAAATTAAGATAAATTTAAACAAATAAATGACAAATAGTTTATGGGAATTTATGCAACGTGTTATAACGTATGTATTAAAACTTTTGGTTCTATTTTTTTAATATACAAAATATTATTTTTCAACAATATTTAAACTACTACACTAAACAATCCATTCTCAATGAACTGTCGAAGGCCCGTGGTCTTCAATCGCGCGAAGTTTTTTTCGGACTTGTCGTATTGTCGCATTAAACTCGTCTGTGGCTTCCCAACCATTTTGATAAACCTGTCTGTCCAATACTGACCAAAAAAGTTTCAATTGGGCGAGCTTGGGAAGGTAGGTAACGTAACGTTTATTTATTTTAAACAGTTTATTGATTTAATTTATATTCGCTATTTATTCTAATGAATTTTATGACCTAATTTATTTATCCTTTATACTGCTAATTTATATATCACATTTACTTATATATCAATTTATATTAACAATATTAATGTGTACTGATCGATCTCTTATCTATCGACAAAGTGACGCTATTTATATGAAAATTGGATATGGAAGATTCTAGACGCTCTCGATGCCCTTCCCCTACGAGTCGACGTTTGCATCATAGCCTTCCGGTAACTTCTCGAATGTCTCCTATTAGACTGAACAACGTCCTAAATTTCCATTTAACCAGTACCAGATTGAGCAGGACCGGATTGGTCAAAAATGACTCGCACGATATTATGTTGTTTGCCGTTAAACAATCGCTTTTTTAAGTAATGACGCTAATTCCGGCTAAAATATTATTTCATCTTCCCAGGGGTGATCATTGATGCAATTTTGTAATTTTGGAAGATATATTTAAGTATAGATGTTAGCATCTACAACTTCACCTCTTATCTGCTGAAATAGCAGCTCAAACTAGAATTTTGTCTTAATTTTTTTTGACCTTGTGACAACTTCAAGTGGACATTCTTCGAGGTTATCTATGTAAAAGCCAGCGTCACCCTTATTTCTGAATGCGAAAAAGTGATATATTTCTCGTCATTCGTTATTATGATTCTCCCATTGACGAAATGAGTTCATCGTAATGTTCTGTAGCACATCGGAATTCTTTGTAACTGATTTTCAGTGTGTCGTAGACATTTCCGTTTTTGCGAAATTGTTTTTTAAAGTGTTTTTTGTATGGTTGAATGACATACCCGGAATCTCCTCTCAAGCTTTCGACAAGATGTGTCCATTTTATGCTTTGCACCACTCTATTTTCGCGTAGTTCGTACAAAATCTTAGATCTGCCACTTTTAGACATGTTTAAACAAAGTACACTTTGTTTGCACTCACTTATCTTTCGATATATAGTTGTTTTGGAAATATTTTTATCCCGAAAAATTCTCAAAATTTATTGTTTGGGTAACCGACCAAGAAGATTGTAAATGTTTCTACGATTTTCAAATTTATATGACATGTTGACAATTTTTTTGACACTACTATAAATTGAAGTATAATTGTCGCTTAGTATAACAATGGCAACTTGATTTAACTTACAATAAAAGAATAAATAATTTTGAAAAAATTCCAAAACTTTAGATCTATGCAACGTTTTTATAATTATGACTATATTACGAGTATTTGTAAAAATATTTATTTATGTGAGAGGAAACAAATAGGTATTACATGTATACATTACGAATATATACTAGTAAACTAAATGCATTTACAAATGTTCATTCACCATTAAAACTAAAGTTAAGCAAAATGAAACAAAAATCCAAAAAGAATGTCTATTACAAGCTGATAATTTAAAAATTATGGCAATAAAATGAGCAATAAAATAAAAAGTAAAACCTAATAAAAACAATTTAATTTATAATTCTGGACTAGAAATATTTAAAAATGTTTAATTCAGATAAACATGTCATTTTTTTAAATAGGATTTTATTTATTAGAAACTATTGAATCAGTAATATCATTGAATAATATTTTTTACTAGTTTTTCAATAATGTATGGCAAGTTTTATTGAGGTAGATAGCGCATAGGGGGCCGATTGCGTGAGTTTTGTATTTTGTCAGTTAAGTTTCCCCTAGCCATTCTGTATCTATATCTGTAACGGCAGTCAGGACTCATTATGCCCATTGTGCATCCTCCTAAGATGATAGGCAGTTCCTAGCTCGTGAGTCAGCCCACAGATTTAATGTAATTGACAACGTCACCAAGAGATGTTTCTCTTATATCGGCCGGTGTTAGCCGATACACGCCGAACACAAATCTTCTAATAAATGAGAGCGTCGAGAAATCGTAAAGGATATGGTCGATGGTCTTATCTTCTTGTTCGCACCCTCTGCAGAGTGCGGATTCTGACAGCCCCATGATATGGATATGTTTCCGTACTTGGCAATGGCCAGTCAGAATCCCTGTGACTAGGCGCAGATTATGTCTAGTCATAGTCAGTTATTTGTTTGCTGCAGTGTTATCAAGAGCTCCCTGGCAACTCTGCAGTTTTTAGTTTCCTTAAATTTCACAAGGGAATGTTCTTTGATTAGGTCTGTCACTACCGATTTTGTTAGGCCAATAGAAGGGCCAGGTCCAAAAAGTATTTGGTTGGCTGCTTTCTTGGCTAGTGAATCAGCAAGACGGTTTCCTTTCGATGTGGCGTGACCTTTGATCCATCTTAAGGTGACCACATTGTTGATGGATATTTCGGTCAAAGCTTCGTGACATTCTAGTACTAACCCTGAGTAAATTCATGGTCTGTTCGGGGTTTCAGGGTGAGTAGTGCTTGTCTGCTAGCTGTATAGATGAGCATATTCCTTCCAGTGATATTGTTTCTGGTTATTTCTTTTGCTGCTATGAGAATCCCCATTGGCTCTGTTTAAATTATACTGGCACTATTGCTCACAGCCCATTTTATGTTTAGGTTTAAGAATCTGGAGTATATTCCACATCTTGAGCCTTGTTTTGTTTTAGAACCGTCGTACCTGTCACTTCTGGCTCTTCTATTTGTTCCATTATAATTTTATATGGCTTATGGAAGATATATCTTGGTGAGATGGAGTCCATGTTCGCTTGAAGCAGTGGGAGAGTATCAAGCGCCTCTTGCCAAAAGCAACGTCTCGCCTCACCAGATCTTACATCAGGTTCTATTCCAACTGTGCGGAGGCATGTCATTGTCGTCAAAGCAATCTCCTTGATGTAAATATCAAGGGGAGTGAGACTAAGAGTGACTTCCAAGGCTCTGGTTGGTGTGGTTTTCATGATGTTCTTTGAATTTGTCTAACAAAAACAATTTATTTTGTAATCCTTGACTAGAAATATTTCTAAAAGTTTCATTCAGATAACACATGTCATTTTTTAAATAGGATTTTATTTATTATATACTATTAAATCACCCTGTATAGGGTATAAGTTATATCTTTGAAAATTATTTTTTACTAGTTTTTTAATAATTATTGAGGTAGATAGCGCATAGGGGGCTGATTGCGTGAGTATTGTCTTTAAATTGTCGTAGGTATAAACATGGCTACATTATGATTCACAATACTTTTTTAGGGAAAGGCATTTTTTAACGTAATATTTAATATTTATAAAATTTCTATTTTTAACATTTGAAAATTATGTGTTATGTGTTGATAATCCAGTTCCAGCACCTGTCTTTTGATATAAAATTATAAACAATGTTCTCAATCTTATACAACCGACATTAACCTCTTTTCGCACTGTTGGTTGCCTAGATGGAAAATCATAATTATTCTCAACCACTCATTGTTAAGGTTAGTCGTGATGGTGGGAAGTTATTTAAATAATGGATAAAGAAATATATGATTTTTCTCTATATATTAACGTATTGTTAGTGTCCTGTATTCAGTGAAACACTGTTATGAAAATAAATAGCTATTATCGGCCAAAAACACTTTACTTGCGTAGCGCCTAGATTTACCTTTTAATTTAAAATCTAATATGAGTCAAAATTGTTTTAAAATAAAATTAAAACAATGCATCTTATCGCAAAATAGAAAAATATTTCATGACATTATGGATTCATATGGATTAATATAAATAATGTTAAATTGTAAACTAATTACTGATTCTAAAATAAAAATAAAAAAAAAATTGTTTTTAATTTTAATACGTTATAACCTAAAATTATGTGAATTATTTAATGGATCTATGAATCAATAAATATGACAGCTCATAGACAAGTAATTCGTATAAAACTTATTTGTACATATGCTTCGTTTATTTACCATTGTATTATTTATTTTAAATTCGTATATTGTAAACATCTATTGTGTTCTACTATTGATAAATACATTATTATATTATTATAAACGTCAAATTGTTTGAACTTCATACGAATTTGGTAGCAATCTAGTTTCATTTTTTAAAAGGTAAAAAAGCATAAATGTGTTTAAAATTGTAACCCCTTAAATGGTTCCACCACTGGCTGGACTTTTGTATTCTCGGTCAGCTTGCTTGGATCGCAGATATCGGTTTCTAGGAAAAAGGATTCTTCTCAATCGGTTGATTTTCTTCCAGTATAACGAAAAATAAAAGAAATGCTTTTTTCTCATTGGTCCTCGGGGATGAATAGAGGGGTTAGGTTCGAAAAATATCTTGGTTAATTTATAGTTTGTAAATACATTTTCCGGTAGAGAGAATTTGAAAACTAAAAAATGTAGGTGTACGTTTAAATAATTTATTCCCTTCTTTTGCAAGAAATGGAAAATAAATTGGAATTTTGTCTTTCAAACAATGCAAACAATGTAGAAAGCAGACGACGAAGAGCAATTGTGGTTTTTCTACACGAACTTTTAAATGGGTATATCGACTGCTGTACAATTTTATTAAAAATTAATTTTACAATTCCACCACGGTAATTTTGGGAACC